ACGGAAAATAATTGAAATTTAAAAAACACCCACTTCAAATGCTAAACTACTCCGAGACTGTGGCCAAATCCCATATACCATTCTTTTTAAAACCTAGAGCACTGATACATGTAGATAAAGTAAAACCCAAAGACGCAGTTTTGAAATTGAAACACATGCTCGATGCATTACAAGATGACTTCCCTAGTGATGCCTCCCAGTAGCACAGCGGTATGTCTGCGGACTTACAACGCTAGAATCTGGGTTTCGATACCCGTGTTGGGCAGAGCACAGATAGTCCATTGTGTAGCTTTGTGCTTAACTTAAAAAACAAACAAACAAACAATCCCTAGTGATTCTCAAATTAAAAATGCCAATTCGGCAATGAAGACTAAGTATAAGAAGGATGGTATAAATAATGCCAATTGTGGTATCGCCATGGTATAATCCATATATCTTTCATCATCTCATATTTTCATTAATATTTCGATTATGTTTGTTTGTTTGTTTTAGGAGCTGTGTCGAGCTTCATTCATCGAGATAACTCGAAATAGCCATAAATTACCGATTTTCGGAATGATCCTCCTGTTGTACTAAATGATGCTGGACTGACTCGTGTGATAGGTGTTAAAGGAAGAATATGGAATAACAAAACACGTAAACACTGGTGACTTATTTCAGCAATATCGTTTGGACTTCATGTTCCTTGAAGAATGTTTAATATATATCTACTTATATCATTTTCTATCTATTATTATCATGATATTTTTCTTATGAAGATTATTTTGTTTCGTATATGAATATAACACTAACCAAAATCTCTTACGTCGGCCAAATCTCACTAACAGTGAGGATACTCAAGTGATGAAACAATGCATTCTAACTGTTATAAGTGAGAATATAAGGAAACATATTTAATTAGATTTTCATAACTGGGTTGATTTTTAGTTTTGATCTATGTAGATAGCCTGCTTTGATCCGAAATTAATATCGGTTGTATATATTAAACTAGGTAACTAAAGTTTACAGCAAAATTCTTTCAGCATTTAGTTTCTTCGATGTATCTAGTCTTAAATGTTGTTTACTTAATGCAAAAGGTCAGGGAGATATAGTTTACAGCAAAATTATGACTACTAGTATTTATCCTTATCTTCTTCTATACCTCTAGTCCAGTTAGTTATACATAAGTATAACGCAAAGCTAAATTCTTTTTATAGTTCTAACTTTGTGAGAGAGGGGGCACTATTTACTGATTGCAACAGGGCGGGGAGATAAAATATACAACAACTTCCTGACTACCGATATCCCTCTCAACTCATTCCAGTTATTCTGGTATTTACTTTCAACCAGTGTGATTACTTTAACCTAGTGAGAAGAACCTTTTGGCAAATAGAATTGAGATTGTTGGTAATCTTCAGTTAGCACATCTTGTATTGTGAGGGCGAACGTTATTTGCTAGATAACAAGAGAACAGGCAGTCAAAGCTTGGTTTCAGGATTCTTCTTATGGATATTCCTAATCTCTAAGAAAAATAGCCGTATTTAGACATAGTTTAAAGTAAATTTTCGTTCCCTTATCCCATCGCTAACCCTAGTCTTAAAAGAGAGAACAATGTTTACTGGATCCAATAAAATATGTAGATAAAATTCAATGCATAATAATATATGCATAATATAGTTAACTACATTATACATATTCATCACATTGATACAATCTAGTCCTTGTGCAGCAAAATATTTTATATACTAGTACCGCTCTTGACCTCTTCCATGCTCCTAACCCTATGAGAACGTGAGTCGTGTTCACTAAGCACATCAGAGCGGATCAGATAGTTTACAGCAATGTTTTAAATACCAGTATCTTCCTTGACCCCTTCCATGCTCCTAACCCTGTGAGAACGAGAGAGTCGTGTTTACTAGGCACATCAGAGCGAGTCAGATAGTTTACAGCAATGTTTTAAATACCAGTATCTTCCTTGACCCCTTCCATGCTCCTAACCCTATGAGAACGTGAGTCGTGTTCACTAAGCACATCAGAGCGGATCAGATAGTTTACAGCAATGTTTTAAATACCAGTATCTTCCTTGACCCCTTCCATGCTCCTAACCCTGTGAGAACGAGAGAGTCGTGTTTACTAGGCACATCAGAGCGAGTCAGATAGTTTACAGCAATGTTTTTGGGTTGTTTTTATTTAAAATGCTTGGCACTTCTTTGCTGGTCATGTATAACGTTTACTCCGTGTAGTGTACGAGTTCTTGTAAATCATCAGATAAATTTAAATTTTGAGGTAAAAAGTTCTACGCTAGAAGGCTCGAACTGAATTTGTTGTGTAGGATTAGACATAAGGAATCTTGATATAAATTTTGGTTACGAATTTTGTATACATTTGTGATACTGGTATTATGCATCTATAGTGTCACTATTATGTAAATATATTTAATTTGTTTCTATAGTGATTTCCATAAGTAGAATATTTTAGACCACTCAGTTCACTGGTAAATAAATAATATATAGTATGGTAACTAGATACGTAAAAGTTTAAAGGACCGGTTGTGAAAGTACAGCACCTGACAATTTCAACAGGATCGAAAATTGGTACTTTTATTCATCAGTTGCTCCCACTTTGATATCTGGATATTCTCTCTATTATAGATTGAAAGAATGTGTCACGTTGCTTGTCGCATGTTTCCCATCATGCTCAGCGTAAAATAAAATACAGTACCATTTGGCGCAACTCTTTAGACTGACTTTACATTCACGCTAGAAATGTCCCAACTCTACTGTAGCATTCCACGAAGGTTGTCGAGAAACTCAAGTTATCGTATTTTCAACGTCTACACTTCGCTGAAAAACAGCTGGTTTTAATGAGTCAGGTAAATATACTAGTTGTTTATCATATTTTGCAGAGATTTCTTTTTCTGTCAAATGCGTTTACGAAATGAAAACATATGAACAGGATTAAGAGTTTTGAGTTTATCGTGACTCTTTGGTGTAAAAACATTTGACACTTATCATACTATCATATTGTAAGAGCCACAACAACTGTAAAATAAGAACTTCTTAAACCTAGACTGATATTCAATATTTGTGGCATTCACCTGCGAATGTCCCTCCAAATGAACAATTATTGGCGTTCTCAATTGAAAAGTCTATAGTTCTGGGGATTTAATCGTCGAGTTTCATCATTTGGTCCTAAAGGGCTACACAATATCTCCAGCATGGATATTTGTATCTCTATTCCACAATATATGTAAGATTCACATGTGAATAGCCATCTGAATAAAAAAAGTTGATATTTGTATGTATAAATTCATAAATCCGTCTCAACAGTATAAATTGGCGATATTAGCAGAAAATCGTTAGAACTCTATCCAGTTATTCCCAGTTAAAAATATGTGAAGTGCTGTATTCGTATATTTAAATATCCTTCAGAATAATAAATATTAACGATATTTACAGTAAAAGCGACAAAAATGTAACTTTCGTACGGTACTTAAAGATCAAATTTCATCATTTTAAGTATTCTCTAGCTATTCCATGGGCAACATAAGAGGTATCTGAACCACAACATGTGAATATTTTTCGGAATAATAAAAAAACAACGACATTTGCAATAAAAAAGGAAGAAAAGTAACTTTTTAAAGTGTTTAGAGACAGAATATCATAATTTTGATATAAAAAGATCTGAAACGGATCCTTTAGAGTAGCAGAAGTGAGTGACATTTGCAATGAATGTTACTAATTTTTACCTGATGGTGATGGATATGGGAATATAATAATCGATTTTTATAAATGAAAAAAATGCAATGTTTAGGAGTCTTTAATTTTCGAATGTCACGAATATCTAATACAAATCTAACTTCGGTCGCTTTTTTGTGCACTTGTAACGGTATAAAATGAACACACCGCTACAATCAGGGTTCGACAACAAAAACGCTATTCATTCACAATAACAACACTTACAATTAAATTCAACACTGTTAATGACCAGATTCAACACTGTTAATAACCAAATGCTTGGCCAGAACTTCACACAAATGTTAATAAACTATTTATTATAAATATCGATAAATCAAAAATAACAGAATCAGGAAAAGAACCAAGAAAAACCAAATTCAAAAAAAAAAAAATACAGCAAATACAATATTAAAACAATACCTTTCAACATCAATAACAATATCGAGTGACAAACAGCAATAACTATACCCTTCAATAACTATGTGTGGACTTTTTCTCTCTTAGTGTAGCTTCTGGTAGGGTATTTATTCACAGAGTAGATCACGAGAGTACAACCTCATGTGATCATAAATTTACATACTCTTCAGCTATATTAATAGTATCTATACGTCACCGTTAGGGAAGCTGGTATCAGTTTCATTATTCATGCATACAAAATATAAATGCTTATTGCCAATCTCAATATTTTTCGAATAACTGGTGTGAATTCACCTTTGCCAGCAACCCTTTATAAAGAACATTATCATTCAAAACATATTGCTTGGATTTAGTTACAGTCTCTGAAACTGTAGTAGAATCATCTGGTAATAGTCCATTTTTCAAATAACAGTATATATGCTTATACTCATCATCTTTAGACTATTTAGTAGCAAATTGTTCTCTAGTGTTGACATTGACAATGGCAAAAAATTTAGGTGATAGCTTACTGATGTCCGAATCTGGAATTTCTTCTGGGGGTCATTAGGATGTCTAGATAGGGCATCAGGGAACTGGTTCTCTTTTCCTTTTCTGTGAAGTATTTCAGTTGTTAAGTCCCGCAATTTAAATGATAAACATGTCAGTCACCAGCTAATTTCGAAGCTGTCTGTAACCATTTCAAGGCAGCATGGTCTGTTATAACTGTAGATTCTTCTCCATCTAGGTATATCTTAAATTTTTCTATAGTCCAGACTACGGCTAGACATTCAAAATCTGTAGTAGTATAGCTTCTTTCTGCAGAGTTCAGTGTTCTACTGGCATATGCTATGGAACCCTTCTGATACAGAAGTATCCCTAATCCAACATTTGAAGCATCAGTATGCAAAAAATAGTGTTCACTTTTTCTTGGAAGTATCAAGACAGGGGATTCACATAAAGCCTTTTTTTTATTAATTTCTGGAATGCATCCTCACACTGGGAGATCAATTTCTACCTCATACGCTTCTTTTGTAACTGATATGATATAAAGGTTCAGAAATTGTAGCAAAGTTTGGAATTATCTGATTGTATTAGGCAAACATACCCAAGAATGTGCTCAAATCTTTGAAATTGTTTGGAGTAGGGAGAGGTCTGTAACAGCTTTCACTTTGTTATCATTTGTGTGCATTCCCTCAAAAGAGAGTTTAAGTCCTAAATATGACACTTTTGATTAGCAAAATGTGCTTTTAGAAACTTTTACGGTAAGATTAGCTGTACGTAGCATACCAATTCAAGGTTTTTCAAGTGTTGTTCAAGTGGGGGTGAAAACATTATAATATTATCAATATAAGCCGTGGGACATTCAGTTGCTCCTGCTAAAGCCTTATCCACATGTCTCTGGAGGGTGGTAGGTGCATTTTTAAGACCAAAAGGCATCACTTTAAATTTATAAAGTCCGTTACCCGTTATGAAAGCAGTTTTTTGTTGATCCTCCTTATCAGCAGGTATTTGCCAATATCTACTGGATAAGTCTAATGTACTGATACAGGTTGCCTCTGACAAAGCATTTAAAATATCACTTATATGAGGCAGTGGACAGCAGCCAGATTCTGAGACTTGATTTAACTTCTTGTAGTCAACACAGAACCTAAAATCATTAGTTTCTTCTTGACAATAACTACTGGAGAAGCTCAAGAAGAAATGTGGAGGGTTCAGTTAACCAATCACGAAGCATTTCATCCACTTGATCATGTATATCTTTTAATTTAGTGGGAGAATAAGGTTTGCTAAACACTGGCGTTTCTGTCGTGGTCACAATACTATGTTCAGATAAATCTGTGACGCCAGGTTTATTGTTAAAAATATCGGCATATTTCAACACAAGTTGTTTAATTGTTCACCATCTTTACTCTTTAAACATGAATATTGTACTTCTTCAGTAAGAATCTTTCAGTCTCAAGGTCATGCACATTAAATTCAAGAACATTTGTGAAGAAGTTGAAGGTTGTTTCGTTTTGCTAAATGAAGTATAATCCAATAAGACAAGATATAGCTAAATCTTTGACGACAACAAAATATTGGTCCACAATGCTATTTCTAACTAATTGTTTTACTTCCAAGTATCCTAACGGTTGACAGTTCGTCATTCCATCTGCAAGACACATGTTACAGTTACTCCAAGGTTTTTAGTTGAAGTGTTGGATCATTTCTCTTGATTTGTTGCCATATATTTTCATTAATAATGAATAATCCGACTTAGTGTTTATACCAACTACTACTTTCACACCGTTAATGAATAATCCGACTCAGTGTTTATACCAACTACTACTTTCACACCGTTAATGTTTAGAGGTAGAGAGATGATTGCAAATTTCATAGAAGGCATTCAATTTCATCTTCAAGACAATATCACTGAATTGTTCCAGAATTTTTCACACAATTTCCACAGCTTTTCTACAGAGAGCCTTATCAAAGACACAAACAATTTCTGGGAATTCTGGAGACTTCATTATATATCCTGTTTAGTCCAGTATTTGACAAATGGCTGACATCTGAGTTGCTGGAGCACAACTGGTTGGCAGATAACTGAGTACATATATTTTGACTTACTTGTGACCATTTATCAGTATGTTAAAGCCAATCCATAAACTGATTTCTGGTTGTCACAGTAGTGCACCAACAGACCAAGCAATATTTTTTTTTGTTAAGCTCTGGTTGATTCTGCCCTCGAAGGATGAAGTGGTAAAATGGCTAGAGGATGTTTCCTGTTACCACAGTTGTAGTGGAGAAATATGAGAGACCTAAAGGGAAGGGATAATCTCTTGTCTTTTTGCATATCTGCTTGCTGGGGGGGGGGGGGTAATTGAGCTGCAGCAGATACCTATGGTTGTACAGTTATCCCATTCACTTGACGTGATGTTCCAGATCCACTGAGGGCTTCCTGTCTGTCTATGTTGTTTTGTGTTAGCATAGCTTGAACTCCAGGTTATGTATTTGAGGGCAGTACATAATCTTCTTCTTCCTGCAATTGCAATTTCTACGTAAAACTGTGTTTATTTCCTCCAATTCTGAAGTTCATACCCCATGCTCTAGATCTGTCAGTTGTTTTAAAATAATATATTCAAAACAAATCAAATGTATGTACAAAAATTCTTTATACATTTGTATCTAAAACTCTTAATAATTCTCTTTTCTTGTCCACATAGTTCAATTGCATTAGAATAAAACTGACAAGACAAACTATTTTTTTTACTATACAATCTGTGATATATTCACTTACGTTACTCCGTGGGTTACCATAGATGTATCTCGAAGTTTAAATAATTGTCTCCTTTTCGTCAAGGTTCACACAGACGGGTTCAATTACTTTAGAATAACCTTTGACAAGACAAATTATTCTCCTTAGCTCTGTTAAACTGTGAAGCTCACTTTAATATATGGCTAATTACTCACACGCCGGCTAACTTCATGCTTCCTAACTTTTAATGACTGAACTTTACTTACACTTCATTTTTTTCTCTACTTGACTTGTACTGCTTGGTCGCCTATATTTATACGTTGTTTACTGAGACCTCGAACTTTCTATAAACTACGCGAGCGATGCAATAATGTGAAAATACTTACTTAAGGTAACGAGGAAAATATCGAAGATTCTAGTAACTGGCGTCAACAATACTACAACAATTGAGCCGCACACATAACGTACGACTCTTACCGAGTCACATAACCAAACTTGTCA